TATATATATATATATATATATATATATATATATATATATATATATATATATATATATATAATACAATACAATATAATATATATATATATAATACAATACAATATAATATATTAATATAATATAATATATATAATATATCAATATTATACATATTGATAATTGCAGGCTATTTCGAAGAAGGTGTTCTATTGCAATTTTGTGCAGCTATGATCTCTGGACTGTTGACGTGCACAGCTTCACTTCCTATGGACGTATCTAAAACTAGGTACAATTGAAAACTCAACTATGATTCATGCAAAAGATTTTCCTCTTTCATAATAATAACTTTGTTTGATGAGAGATCACACCGCAGTATTATTACTTTCCAATTCATTTAATTTGTACTACCGCTTTAAATTACAGCTACCCATTCTTCTTACAAATTCGCGAGATCCACGATCTGCAGTAAATTCTCCCCAATTGACGCTCATCTTGTACACAAAAATTTATATATTTGTGTTCGTTTGCAATCACTCGATTCCAACAAATTCTTTTATAAGCAGTAAGGGTGGTGATACAATAAATTCGCCCCAATTGTCCTTCAACTTGCGAACAAAAATGGACAATTTGGAAAGAGGAGATACGATTATTCGAGCCTTGCGGCTCCTTTTTATAGTTACCAATTGTCAACGACTATAAAAACGAGCCGCAAGGCTCGTATAATCGTATATACTCTTCCCAAATCATCCATCTTTGTGTAGAATCTGAGCGTCAATTAGGGAGAATTTATTAGAAATTATTACTATTAATATGTTGCATAACGTGTGTATACAAATTTGGTAATTTCTATCATCGATAGAACATTGATTTTTATTCGCATAAAGGATAGTCGCCATTGAATTCTAAAGAAAATGTAAAAAAGATACAATGATTAGTAGAAATGAACTTTTATGTATCGTGGTTGCTAATGAATGATTACGAACGATTACAATCATTTTTGGTTACCGATAACAATAAATAAATAAATTGTTTTTGGTTATGAATAACTGTTGCAGATGATCTAATCTCACAATTGCTTCCCACAGAATACAAAATTGGGTCTCTCCACCGAAACCACCAGGCTTTTTCGTGGTGATGATCGGCATAGCACAAAAAGAAGGGATGCTTGCACTATGGCGAGGATTTTCGCCGTATTATGCACGAGCTGCGCCTAATACTGTGTTCACAATGATAAGCGTCGAACAGCTTCATCGTCTATACATGAAACTGTTCCAGCCGCTTGAAGAATGAAGACTAAATGAAGACTGAAATAAACGTTTTCGTATCTTCTTCATTTCTAAAAAGAAACGTGAAATGTTTTTATTACGTACTTATGCTTATCGCGTACTTGTATTTATCAATAAAATTCACTATATCTAGTGATCAACATAATTTAATTCTTAGAGAAACATTCGAGTATGTACATGGATTGCGAGTTACGACACCCTTTTTTTTATTTATTGCATAAATATTTTTCTACAAATATCTTCTACAAACTGGTAGCCGCTACAAAAATTTGTCGATTCATCTTTCACAATCTCACTTGTGGTTCGATACATTTCTGGGATGACACAACACTCGAACATTCAATTATAGCTTCGCGACCGCATACGTGTAATTCTCTGTTAGAAGCGTCGCTTGTGTACGCGATCATGTATGCCATATAATTGAGTTACTTAGATGCTCCGTTTTCACCTTGCACATATCGCCTGAACAGTCTTACGATCTGCTCGTTAATTACTAACGTTAAAACTGTGTGCGGTCCTATTCTGCAGTAAGTAGGCCAGAACCCTTTCCACAACGCTGCTATGCCTTCGTTTTTCATCGTGGACATTAATACCGAAATGATGCCAGGCGGTTTCCCCACGGTCTTCATGGTCTGTATTCTAAAATTTAAACAAAACTGGGCGATAGTATTTATGGAAAAATGATTTCTTCCGTGTTTATGGATTTATTGATATTAGTGTTTGCTGTCGAGATGATAATCCTGTTTCACTCTATTGCAAATTGGTAGTGCAACCTGAATTATTCGAAATAATTATACAGTCGATCAACAATCGTCGAACATTCGTTAAAACGGTATAATTTTTCAAAGATTGGACCGCGTGATTTGGATTTTTTGTGATTTACTATATGCATAGTATGCAGAAAGATTTTTGAAAAAATTGCTAACGCTTGGAATTTGCGAGAAGGATTGCAAAAATTGTTTTGGCTGACTGCTAATTTAAAAACTTATAATTTATCAAAATTGTCGAACATTGCCATAAGTTGCAAACGTTTTTAAATATAAATGAAAGCCGCTATTTTTATGATTATCGGATCATAATTACAATGTTTGAGATTCTAACGACATTGTGTATAACCAATTTCAATCAAATTTTTGTATAATTTTTAGTGATATGTAATTTAACTTATAACTTTTACTTTATAGCTACTCACTATAATTGCTGAAATATTCAATTTATTTATCGATAAAGTGTATGTACTAATATAGCGAAAAATGTGAAGCATAAAATTTGGTAAAATTCATTACTAATTCCGTAACTATTTTTAAGTAATTGCAGTATGACAACATTATAATATAAAGAGAAACAAAGCATACATAAATATAATCTAAACATACAGGGTGTAACTGTAGATTCATTTTTTTTAGTTTGGTTTCCATATATTTAATTCAGATGAAAGGAATTGCTGAAATTGATTTTATTGCTACAGAAACTGATGTAGTTTTACCTTGTTTTAGCTATGTCAAACGGCATGCTATTGAAGGTGGTGAGAAATCCAGACAACATGGATGCAAGGAAATGGAGTTTTATACTGTCTTCCATATTTACTGCAAAACAAATGTTTTACAGTTTTAGTGACTGCGTATCATACAATGCAATAAAATTAATTTGATCTAGTGAAATTAAATAGTTAGAGAAGTGTACTTGTAAAACTAATTTCTACAAATGAACGCATGTAAATGTTGAAAGAAAATGACATTGAGAAAGTTAATCGCAAATGCAAAATATTCGAAAAATCTTGTAAAAAATTAGTATCTTAACCTTTACTGTACATATACTTGGAGTGTGCAACACTTTAGTGAAACTGTATCGTAGAAGTCTATCAATAATAATATATAATTTATATATTATATGTAATATTATATTATATATAACATAATATTATTATTATATATAATATAGTATTATTATTATATATAATATAATATTATTATTATATATAATATAGTATTATTATTATATATAATATAATATTATTATAATTTATTAATCTATATTATGTATTAATAATAATAATAAACAGTCATTTGAAATTGCTTAGGCATATTGTGTAAATGTGCTCTATGGAATTTTTAGAAAAATATGAATATTTTAACACCTTGTACATTGTGATTTCTTTCACAGATAATAATCAAATATTATTTCGATTTAAAAAAAAAAAACGAACAATATTCATATTTGGTAGAAATTAAATCATTATCACGAGTTTGATTCGTTGTTACAGTGCAAGGGGTTAAATGCGACTGCAGCGCTAAAGCGAAAACGTTCAACGTAAAGTGATGTTTGAAAGCTTATTTCAGAAGATTAATGAGAAGTTATCAGGTACATCGTAATACATTTTGAAGCTATCAAAAACTTGGCCTGGCTGTATGTTGCAAGCTGAGATATGTTAACAACAATCGCTCGTCCCATCGTTGCTACGGTTCCTCGCCAAAGGGCCAAGACTCCTTCGTCTTTAATTATCGTCGCAAACGCGTGAAACACGTTCTTGTAATTTCTCCGTTGTTCTAAATAAAACAACGACGATGTGATTAGCATCCGACTTTTAGTTTCCCAATAATTAGGAGATCGAGATCTCGTCCCCATAATAAGCAATAAAATGTCCAAAAAATTTGATGCTACGCGTACGTCGCGGCATATGTTCGTACGTTTGTAATTAACATTTTATAGTTATTGTATATATTTTCGAATATGTTTGAAAATTCAATCGCACAAATTTTCATAGTCGTATCTATTCACAGTGTTAATAATAATTTCAAGAGTTCTCTATCATGAGCACGTTACATTTTGTATAACTGTTATATGGTGAATGTTCGAATAATTTCGCGAATCAGTGGGAAAGGAAATATAAATCCGTTTTGGTATTAAATGCATTTTATATTGCCACCTGTCTAGTATGTGTATAGTGTATCACGTGATGTAACATTTCTCGTATTTTAGAGAATTAAAAACTCATGAGGAGAAA